CGAAGTTGATGTTTCAAGTTATCATTACAGAAGAATGACCTTATTTTTAAAAATGTCGTGCGGGCTATCTCGATTCTACATTTTATCTCTTGATCTGGATCTAGTTGTTCAGTAATATGGCAACCAAGATATTTAAAACTGGACACTCTTTGAATTATATGACAATCAACATATAATCGTGCATCTTGATGTGCTAAACGGCTAAACACCATGTGTTTTGTTTTTGAACAGTTTATGTTTAGGCCAAACTCTCTTCCCACTGTATTAATGGCATTTAAAAGACATTGTATTCCGTTCATATGTCATCACTTAAAATATCTGTATCGTCTGCATATCTGATTGTATTTATCAGAATTCCATTAACTTTCACGCCCCATTCCAAATTATGCAGCGCTTCTTTAAATATTCTATCTGAATATAAATTAAATAACAGTGGGGATAATATGCAACCCTGCCTGACACCTCTTTGTATTTTACATATTTCTGTTGATTTTTCGTTTATGCAAGCTGTCGCTGTTTGACGCCAGTATAACTTTTCTATGAATCGTATGTCTTGAATATCAACTATCAACAAATAATTTTTGTGACAATTAATTCAATTTAAAATCAAGAAGTTTTTAGTAAAAACCACAGGCTTTTAAGTCGTCAATTTCCCTTCCCCTCAAACACGCAAAGATCTACATTAAAAATATGAATCACTTTCTATAATTTTGGTACTGTGCTCTAATATATTATAATTAAAAGAGTTTTTTGATTTTAGGAACGAATTAGTGTGCATTGGCTTTAAAGTATATTGTTAAAAATTTAAACATTGACTCGTTAAACATTGCAACATGTGCCTCGTTAAATTTTGTTGTTTTTTTTTTTTAAATTTTATGCGTTTAAATCAAATAATAGTTTAGCAACAAACCAACCAAAGCTAAAATAATACTGTACAATGCATACTTTTTAAACTAAATCTACATATGCAGACTTTTGTTTGATAAAAAATATTTCATTTTATAGCGCTATAAAAGTTTATTACTCTTTGAATCAGATATAAAAATAGAATTATTAAAGAATTATTTGCTTTTCTAGTATGTATAATAGCATGGGAATGTTGACAGTGCTGTACTGATTAAATTTTCCGTAGTTTCTTGATATGAAATTAACACTGTTATAGTATATATTATTAACTAAATTTGAATAAATAAATTCATATGTGTTTCAGATCTAAAATTTTGATTGTAAATTTGAATCCTTTGTTTTTTGGGAATCAATAAATATTCTTTTTTACCAAAATTTATTAAATGGTCGATCATTATTGATCAAATAAATAACCACCCGACAAATTTTGCAATTGCAGATTATCTGAATGTAGTATTCTGCTTTACAGAAGAAAAGCTATCTTCTAAATCAGCAGAAAGACTAGCTCTAGGAGCCTACATAATCAGTCCAAATGAAAGTCTTTATGTCGAAGAAAATAAATCTCTACTTTCTATCAGAAGATTATGTCCCAGTTTAGGCAAGCAAGCTATCAACTAATCCAAACAACCCAGCCCACCCCTATGCTTTCTTCACATGTTACCATTCTAATTACAATCAAAATTCTAATCTTTGACCATCAGCAAAAGAATTAGCAATCTCATATTTCCGAGTATTATGCATACCAATATTGATTATGCTCCCCCTTGGATTATAGAAATTCCATATTGTAACACATATCTGTCAACTTATACTAAGGACAATACCTCTTCATCTATTTTTCTCCAATACTTCTACAACATTAAAAATAAATATTGGTCCTGTCAACTAGTTTATACCGATGCATCAAAAATACCCTAATTGGAAACAATAGGATCATCTATTGTCACAGAGGATTCTGTGCTCAAGTTACCATTATCTAGGGACTACTCAATATATTCTGCTAAAGTTTTTGTGATATCCAAGGCAGTACAACACACTCTTAATCGACCTCAGGACATGACAGTAATATTCAGAGATTCACAGATCTATCAGCGAAAACATTAATTTTAGTAAAGCGAAGGGACCAGACCAGGAAAAATTCAGACCACAATCCTGTAGTTGCAACTGTCAGAATAAAATTTAAAAGAGTAGGCAAGGCTAAACCCAGTCAGAAAATAGCATGGAGTAGTGCTGACCAGGGACAAAAACATATGTATAAAGACATGTTAGACACGCAGTTAGAGTCTAAGACATTAGCTTCCACTAAAGAGAAGACAATAAAAGAAAACATTCAAGACATGTGGGGAAAAATTAAAAATACTGTCCTGGAGGCAGCAAACCAAAATATACAGAAAGAAAACCGTAAACAAAGAAAACCATGAATGACAAACGAAATATTACAAATTATGGAGAGGAAACGGATGGTAAAAAACAAAAACCTAACAAGATACAAAGAGCTGAACAGGAAAATTGAGATAAAGATAAATGTAGCTAAGGAAGAGTGGATGAAAGAAAAATGTAAAGAGGTAGAAGATCTGCAAAGGAAGCATAAAGATAGCGAATTACACAGAAAGCTGAAAGAAGTCGCTGGGATATGGAAACCCAACATTTATCTATTGGAAAAAACACGAAAAACTAAATAGAATTAGACCTTGAAAAACAGAAGGAAATATGAAAACAATATCTTAAAGATTTGTTTGGTGTTCGGAGAGCCGAAGGGCCCCCACAAATAGATACCGATGGAAAACTAAGTATTCTAACCGAAGAAGTTATGCGGGCCATAAAAGACGCAAAGATCAACAAGGCACCCGGAGAAGATCTAACAACAGCCGAACATTTTAAACACCTGAGTGATGATGCTGTCGGGAAATTAACCTACCTCTTTAACATTATATATCAACATGGCACTCTACCGCATGACTGGCTAACATCCACATATTATGTATCTCTTCCTAAAAAACAAAAAGCAAGGAAATGTGAAGACCATCGAACTGTATCCCTAATGAATCATGCTGCTAAGATTTTGATGCGAGTAATTTATAACCGCATTCACAATAAGTGTGAAGAATACCTGAGTCGTTCTCAATATGGTTTTAGGAAAGGTACAGGCACCAGAGAATGTCAATAATGGGATTGACACTAATGGCAGAAAGGTATCTCGAGGTTTAAAAACAGCTGTATGTGTGCTTTGTCGATTATAGAAAGGCCTTCGACCGCATTAGACACGAAAAATTGATTGAGGTGCTAAAAGAAGTAGGACTGGACGGACACGACATAGCTATAATAAGCAATACATACTGGAACCATACAAAATGTAATCCACAAGGAAAAATTCCTGTAGCTGGCTGTATACCACGTATAACAAAAAGAGGTTAATCTTTGTAAATGGGTATATTTTTTTTTTCATACAAAATGTGAGAAATAGAACGAGGAGTGCGTCAAGGGTGCATTCTGTCCCCTCTTCTGTTTAATGTCTATGTCGAAAATATCATCAGAGCTTCTCTTGAAGATCGCCCTGAAGGTGCCAGAGTCAATGGAATCATCATTAACAATGTAAGATATGCCGATGACACCGTAGTATTAGCAGAAACAGAAGACCAACTAAAAATATTGATGAACATACTATCAGAAGAAAGTCACAGACTAGGTTTTGATATTATTCTTTCCAAAACCAAAATCATGGTATTCCACAAGAACCCCCATGAACAAATTACACCCAACATACAAATCAATGGTATCATCCTTCAGAGCTCCCAAAGCTTCATATACCTGGGCAGAGAGCTAAACAGTTAGCTAGACCACTCAAAAGAAATTAGAAAACTTATCGAAATAGCAAGATGTGGCTTCATGAACATGCGTAAAATACTCTGTAACCCCAAGCTATCAATCACAATAAGGTTAAGAAAACTAAAGTGTTATGTGTGGTCTCTACTACTATATGGCTGTGAGACCTGGACAACAAACTGAATTCATTCGAAATGTGGATGTACCGCCGAATGCTAAGAATAAGCTGGACCAGCAAAACTACAAATGAACAGGTACTGGAAATAATGAACACACGACCTTATCTGGGTAATACAATCAAAATTAGAAAGACGTCGTATCTAGGACACATAATGCGCCATAAATAATTTGAGCAGCTCCAGGTAATATTAGAAAGCAAAATCGAGGGTAAAATGGGTATAGGAAGAAAGAAGAAATCCTGGCTCCGAAACATCAAAGGTTGGACTCACACAACAGGAAATGACTTAATCCATCAAGTCCAGAACAGAGAGAAATTTGCCATATTGATCGCCAACCTCAATAGAGAAGGCACTTAGGAGGAGGAGGAAGGGACCAGGTATCCGGATACATCGTATCCGAATAGGACATACTGACGCACTGACGCACTGACGCACTGACGCACTAACGCAGACTGACGCACGAACACCTACTACTGAAAAAACCTCCTAGAATCTACGCCTGTGACACCAAAATAACTGTAGGCCACATTGTTATAGCATGTCTATTATATCAAATGGAAAGACAAGCTACTAGACAACCAAGTGATATAAAATGCTTGTTAGGGAGAGCGCCCACCAAACTTGCATGGCAAGTGGCAAGTAGCAAGTAGCACGCGTGTAGCGTCTCTAGCATGTTACTTAAAATGTAACCAATAAAAACGAATCATTCAGCGCACACCAAAATGACAGTAACGTCATTCATTCTAATCGTTCGTTTGATTTTTGTATAATGAAATATAAGTGATACTTCAAGAAAAATACTAAATTATAATCAATTTTGTAAAAACTTTATAGTTAGTATTTTATATTAATCATTATGATATATTAGAGTCTGTATTGTACCATCGCTAATAACCTTTTATGGTTGATATGGGATATTCCAAAAAAAAAATCTAAATATGATTTAAGATAATATTTTTTAGAACTATTATTCTAATAATTTTATTTTAGGCGTCCAGTATTCGTTAAGATATTTTCAATTAATATTAATCTGCTATCATAATTAAATCATTCATGATATTTATTTTAAAATTAATTTTTTTCTTGTTTTAGTATTGGACTCTGTATCAGCGCGACGATTGGCTAATAGCAGGCAGTGGCTTTCAGAGTATAAAAGTGATATTGAGGAGGACTGTAAGAATGGACTACAAAATTATTATAACTACCCTTATGACTGTCAGAAATATTACACTTGTAGAGAAGGAAAGTTATATCTTAGCACATGCCAATCCGATTTATACTGGAACAGCGAACTGCGGAGTTGTGATATTCAAGCAAATGTAAATTGCTGTAAGTTACTAAGAATTTTTAGAATTTAATTTGTTGATAAACTAAAGTATAAAAAGATTTTAAAGCATAAGCAAAAATCTAGTAACGAAGTTTAGATGTATAATCAGAAATACATTAAAAGTAGCATTCTTTTGTCGATAGCATTAGTCTTGTTGTTAATCTTCATAGATTAACCTAGTCTGTGTCTGATTACATGACATACCTCTTACTGATCTTTAGTTTTCTAAAATCAAATTATTTGTTCTAAAATAAATTTTTGAAATTGGTAATATCCTTTGCCGGAAGAATATTTCAAAGGCGTCTATCTTTGGCATTTTCGATGGTCTACTTTTCCAAAATTTGCATTCCTTTGTTAGTAATAGGGGAATTAAAGTTAGTGATTGATTTAACCGTTACTTGATGGAAATTCATTTTATTTGACAACAAAAAATTGAACACTTTTTTAAAACTTCCAAAAAAATTATTTAAATTTATTATCACTACAACTGTTTCGGCAACGTGCCTTTCTTAAGTGATATATTTTTGGTATACGTTTACACTTTATATATACTCTTTAACTGAATTAGTTGAGTAGGGGAGAACGACTCGTCTTGAGTTGGTATATTTATATAATTTCTCTAGAATCTAATAAACATAGTTTAAGGCCTATATTTTGAATGTGGAGAATTTTAAATTTGTTATTAAAATAATCACTATAGTCTATAAGATAAAGTACATAACGTAGAAACCGTTTTTCTTTTATTGAAAGGCCTTGTGTGTTTTGCTATACATTTGTTAAAAGTTTTACCAGTTTGACCAATGTAAGTTTCTACCACTGTTCTTAATAAAGCTTAATATATCCTTCTCGTGTTAGACCACATTTGAGGTAAAATGAGTTTTTACCATCTTCATAATAGAATTAATTTATTATATCGATTAGTTCAACAGTCAAGTCACATTTTTATCTAAAACATTAAATCGCCAGTGAAAAGTGTAAACCTGCTATCTTTATTTGACCTAACTTTACAAGAGACAGTAAAAACTTAATTAAAAAATTAAAGTAGATTCTAGGAAACAATCAATCCATTTCATAACGAATATGCAAAAGGATCACATTTAAGAATAATAGTAACATAAGAATAAGTGATGCACTATTTATTTATTTAAAAAAAGTGTAGATAGCAGGATTTATTAACCACAACTTATCAAATGTTAGGGAGTTAGCAGCATGCGATGTTAGTCGCAACATTCTGTGTTGCATAACATACATGATGTGTATGTTATGTTGTGTAAGATGTAAGAAGGTGTCTAAGAATAAAAACACAATAATATTTGTATATTTAATGTAATTCAATAAATTTTACAGATGAGGTATATTATCATAGTACACATGGTAATCGCCTGGCAAAGTGCGCTTAATAGACTGCAAATCATTATATTTCCGGGTTGTTATGGGCAGTCTATTTTCATGCAATTGTATCAAGTCATCGAATTGTTTGTGGATAATATTAAATTTTCTCTGTGGCAAAAGTAAACCAAGCAAAGTTTCTCTTTGTACAAAACAAAAAACCGTATTTAATAAATTTAATAACCAGAGAGAGGGTTGTGTTAATCCCAAAATGTTTAAAGGATTTTTAAACGTAGGGTATTGGCACAGTAAACATTGGAATGCATCTATTGTAATTTTATAATGTGTCGCACAGCCCTCGTTTTGGCCAACTTGATACAGTATTTCGTTGAACTGACAACGTAACCATAGAAATTAGAATGACATATGTGACAAGATCTATTTAAACAACTTGAAAAACACGATTTTTGGTTACAAGAGTTGTACCAGTTTTTTGAGACGCGAAGGTTACCTCAATCAGTCCGCGAAATTTTACTGTATGATTAAATTACACAAATCTGTTCACCCAATAATACTTGTAGTTTTTTTTTATGAATATACAACTCCGTTATATAAAATTCCATAAAAACCGGTTAGAGATTAATTTAGAACACACTAAATTTTAAACTAAATTTACCGTAAAAACACAGAAGAACTGGTTATTAAAATACGCCATTTCCAATTACCGAAAAACTCCAGATTAATTTTATGTTACGTAAAAAATTGTTTTCCCATTACTCATACTACGACTCCAATGATTACACCTGAAATTTTATTTCTCTTTAAAATTTTTATAAACCAGGACTATTTTGAATTTAATAATTAAATATATACAAATAAGAGTGCAGAACTTATAATGGATAATCCTATAACCCATTGTTTTCAGATAATTTTACGGATCATCTAGAAACAGAGATTTTAAAACTCCCATATTTAAATAGTTTTTATATTGGTGGAGATACGTGGACGATGTACTGGTATACTATTCGGAAATTGCAGACAACTTGGCCAATACTTATCGTATAATAATTCAATCTATAGTTATATTGGATTTAAAATAGAAACATATTAAATCCATAAATCTTCTAGACCTAACCATTATTAGACTTAAAATCAAAACATGAATTGTCCTTATTTCATAAACCTACCAATACCGTCAAAAAGTCAAAAAACAACTTAGAGGTAGAATTGACTATCATTAAGCAAAAAGAGTAAACAGTGGGTACAACAAACAAATGATAAACAAAATTTTAAAACAAAAAGATAAGAAAGCCTTAAAATTAGTATTTCCACTACAAGAAAAAAACTATGTACCTTCTGCTCAATTACATAAAGCAAGATATCAACAAAAAATATACAAATACACAAAAAAGAAATAAATAACACTATTTTTTAGAACAAACAATAAGTTAAACACATATATTTTGAACAACTAGAGGCAAGAGAAAATATACTTACACAGTGGTGTATATAAGTTTAAATGTGGCAACTGCCTAAAATTTTACATCGGTCAGACTGGTAGGACTTTTAACAACCATATAGCAGAACACAAAAAATCAGAACAAACAACAAGTTAAACACATATATTAAGAACAACCAGAGGGAAGAGAAAATATATTTATAGAGTGGTGTATATAAATTTAAATGTGGCAACTGCCCCAAAATTTATATCAGTCATACTGGTAGGCCTTTTAACCTTCATATAGCAGAACACAAAAGGCTTTCAATATTTGAAAACAGATTTTACGTACACACTTTACCTTTTAGATCATAATCCGTTTTTTAATGACTAATTTAAAATTTCTCACACTGTAAACAAACTAAATAAACAAATGTAATTCTGAATGACAAACTTGAGTCAAACAGTTCTGCACTACTAAAATTTATAAGTTTAATACTATAAAGTGTAAAAACATAGCAAAAATAGATTACTAGACGGGAACTCTGTCAAAGGACCTGTATTTTGTGGAAGTTTAGAAAAAAAAAAGCTTTTAGTGTTTTATTGTTAGATATTAAAGTTCGCCAATCTTATTTTTAAGATTTTTGAAATTTTAAGTCTTATCAAATTTTGATCATCTTTTTCGCTACCGGAATAATATGTTCTTGTCTCATCTGTTCAGACATAACCTGAGGTAGGCCACCTGCCTTTACTAATAGACAGTACTTTAATATTTAACCTGTTTATCTTTTAAATAATATTGTGCATCCAAGCAAGCTGAAAAATGTTCCGAATATTCCACGTTTCAATTCTAGTGTTAAACAGTCTAATTCTCTCGCCTACGTTCTTCTGACAAGAAATTTGTTGATTAACGAACTGATAAGTAATGTTCTTTCCTTCCCTGCTGGATCATGGCTTCCGAGGGCCACGATCAGTAACGCCGTTATTAGTTTTTAACACCATGATGATTTTATTATGGATATTTATAGAGGTCTTTAATATAATAAGTTTGCCTTGTCTACTACATGCTTATTCCGTTGACCGTGACAGTAAATATAAACTTATAAAGATATGTAATTAGCGCTCAAAAACCAGTTACATAACTTTTTCGGTAGTAAAATAAGACACATTCTGTACTAAAATTAATTTTCTTTTTTTTTCAGCAAATATAATTCCATTTCCACGTAAGTATCGCACAGTACATACATACGTATTATATATATATATATATATATATATATATATATATATATATATATATATATATATATATATATATACATATATATTTCATTACATCTTCTTATCCTATAATTAACATACAGATCGGTGCAAGTCTTCTCTTACAAGTCTCTCTAATGACGGGTAGGCCCAGAAAAACTTGTTATAGAATAATAAAAGGTTCAAATTAAATCCAAACGCAAAGTTTGGATCGTCTAAGTACAATTATTTTAATCCTGAATGTGTTGCTTGTGTGAGTCCATTTCAAATAGGTAAAGAAATAATAAATAAGACTTACTCACAATCAATTTAATTTAACTATCAGACGACCGGTTTCGCTTTCTACAATATGCAAAGCATCCTCAGGTCTCGATACAAAGTTAAACAAATGCTGAAATAATAAAAACCCATATTAGGGTGTTGTCTAATAACGATAAACAAAGTAGGTGTTGTAAATTACAATAATTATGCCAATATTACATGTCTGTGGTTTTATTTAAATGAGTAAATTGAATAAAAAGGTATAAAATTTTTAAAAAAGTTAAACAGACAAGGTAAGGCCCACAATTTGTTATAAAATAGTCTCTTCGATTGTAATAAATTAATAAATGAGCAAATAAATAAATAAAATAAACATTACTTACATGCCGGTACTCTATTAATAGATGGTAGAACATGGTTGAAACTACTTTATATTGTTGAATGGAGAACTCAATTCTATCACTGCAGTTGTTTGACAGTAAACGGGAAGTTCTTGAGGAGATAGATTTGATCCAATGAATTAGAGATTCAAATTTACGAAGCAAAGAATTTCAAATAAAAAATAAAATGCTTTGTAAACTTTTTATACATTTGATTATTAAATGTACATGTTCAGTTGCCAAGGAATTACTTTAATTTAAATTGTTCAGTTATTTGGACATTAGACTGAGTTAGTTATATTGTAAGATGTATTTTAATTATCCATATTGTTACATTAAATTTGATTAATTAAAGATTGTTAAAGTATGCCAATATTAAACACATCTATTTACTTTTGATATCTAAATTGAAACAATTTTATAGACATTCATTAATAACAGCATATTTCATGAAACTAGATAACTTAACTTACAGCATTGAGAAACAGAAGAAGAACTGTTACATGCTAACCTACATCTGTCAAAATTTACCACTAAAATCTAATAGATACAACATAAAAAAACTCATTGTGCCCAAGACTATGATGTAGTGCAATAAAGTCCTTCCTCCCTTTTAAATTCAATATTTGTTTCGTCCCTTCTAAGTGTTTTCTGTTTTAGTGTGTTTAAATTATCCTTAATTGTCTGTATTTTAACATTTTATTTACTTGACTATTCCAATAATTAACTCATTGCCAATAGAACTTTATCAAAGTAATTTGATAACTACATGTTGTGAAAATAATTGCACACCCACACAATCTTTACATCTACACCTATTCATTGTCATAAAACTGTCACCTTCAAAAAAACAATTACTCAATAAATAACACACATTTCAAAAATATATCTCTGGAATAAGTATAAATAGCCTTTAATAACACAATAGTATATTACATCACTTACATTTAACAAACAATCTCACACATATCTCTAATTCATTGGATCAAATCTATCTCCTCAAGAACTTCCCGTTTACTGTCAAACAACTGCAGTGATAGAATTGAGTTCTCCATTCAACAATATAAAGTAGTTTCAACCATGTTCTACCATCCATCTATTAATAGAGTACCGGCATGTAAGTAATGTTTATTTTATTTATTTATTTGCTCATTTATTAATTTATTACAATCGAAGAGACTATTTTATAACAAATTGTGGGCCTTACATTGTCTGTTTAACTTTTTTAAAAATTTTATACCTTTTTATTCAACTTACTCATTTAAATAAAACCACAGACATGTAATATTGGCATAATTATTGTAATTTACAACACCTACTTTGTTTATCGTTATTAGACAATACCCTAATATGGGTTTTTATTATGTCAGCATTTGTTTAACTTTGTATCGAGACCTGAGGGTGCTTTGCATATTGTAGAAAGCGAAACCGGTCGTCTGATAGTTAAATTAAATTGATTGTGAGTAAGTCTTATTTATTATTTCTTTACCTATTTTCAATTATTTTGTTATCGTCCTTACTCGATGAAATACGTACGTATGATGGTAATTTATATGGGTAAATTGTTGTTGCATAGTGAAATATTAATATTCCTAGCATCGCTCTGAGAGGCTTGGTTAAGCTGCAATATACAATTTAGTTTAATTGCTATCGACATTTTACTTTATCGTCCCTTACTAGAGGTCGCCAGTAGCAGACTTTGGGAATTATTTTTCCTATATTTGCCAGACTGGTCGGTACGTTTTAATTTGGTTTGAGTCTTCTTAAGTCTTAAGTCTCTCTTATAACGGGTAGGCCCAGAAACAGGTGTGAGAGAATGGTCTTCTTCTTCTTACGATGCCTATTCGTTCCGGATGTTAGCGATCAACATGGCTATCCTAACTTTGCTTGCTGCTATTCTGAATAGTCCGGTTGTCGATGTATTCAATCACTTTATTAGGTTTTGAAGCCAAGATATTCTTCTTCTCACTGGTCCTCTTTTTCCATATACCTTGCCCTGAAGAATGAGTTGCAACAAGCCGCATCTCTGTTCATTCCTCATAACATGGCCAAGATATGCTAGTTTGCGCTCTTTGATGGTGTTAATAACTTCGCATTCCTTGCCTATTCTACGTAGAACCTCAACATTAGTCACACAATCCACCCATGAAATTCTTAAGATACGTCTGTAACACCACATCTCGAATGCCTTGAGTTTTCTTAAGGAATCTTTGGAAAGTGTCCAGGCCTCTACTCTGTATAATAAGGTAGAAAATACATAGCATCTAATGAGAGAGATTTTGGTAGCAAGTGGTAAATCATGACTTCTGAAAAGAGACTTCATCATTATGAACACTGATCTCGCTTTTCCTATGCGTTGTTTTATTTCACTGGAGTGATCACATTGGCTGTTAATGTTGGTACCAAGGTATGTGTAGCTGTCCACTCTCTCAATTGGATGTTGGTTGACCAAAAGCTGTGTATTTAATATTTCGCGCTTACTGACTACCATGTACTTTGTTTTCTTCGTATTAAGATTAAGTCCGTGTTCTCTACTTACATGTGATATACACGACATTATTCTTTGCAAACCGTCCAGACTATCTGCAAAAACTACTGCATCGTCGGCATATCTAATGTTGTTTAGATGCATTTCGTTGACTAATACGCCTTCTTGTAGTTCTCACAGCGCTTGCTCGAAGATATATTCAGAGTATATATTAAATAACACCGGGGACAGAATGCATCCTTGCCTCACTCCTCTATCTATGGAGACTGCCTCTTTCAATTGACCATCCGCTTTAATATTGGATGTTTGGTTGTAATATAAATTATAGATGATTCTCAAGTCCCTATCATCTAACCCCACTTCTTTTAATATGTTTATAAGTTAATCATGTTTTACTCTATCAATTGCCTTTTTGTAGTCGATAAAACAAATACACACATCGCAGTTACATCCCTGAATCTTTGCATAAGCAATTGGACAGCGAATAGAGCCTCTCGGGTGCCTAAGGAATCGCGGACCCCAAACTGCGTCCATGATACTTATTCTTCGCATTTTTTATATATTCTGCCGTGTGTCACTTTCAAGAACGTGTTAAGTAAGTGGTTCATTAGGCTCATTGTTCTGTAGTCTTCGCACGTCTTGGCATTTACTTTTTTTGGTATGGTCACGAAGGTCGACTTTAACCAGCTTTGGGGTATTTTTCCAGATACGTATATGTTGTTGAATACAGTTGTTATCCATTTTATTCCCTGTTCATCCATAAGTTTAAGGAATTATGCACAAAACTCGTCAGGCCCTACCGCTTTACCATCTTTAGTTTGGTAGAGAGAATGGTAAGAGGCCTAAATTAAATCCAAACGTAATCGTCTACGTATATTTATTATATGTATATATATATATATATATATATATATATATATATATATATATATATATAGATTATTAGATAGATAGATAGGTACGATTTGTATGTAAAGTATATTTTATAGAGTAATATTTTTAATTTATAAATCGTTCTTATTGACCCTATAAAAGTATATGCAGGGATACTTGCCGAAGTTAAAAAAGAAGAAAATACTGAAACCCAAATAGGGGATGTATGGTATGGCATATGGCACACGAAATGAAAGAGGAGAAAAATTATATAACTTCTTAGAACAACAAAATTTATATGCGATGAACACACACTTCAAGAAACCATTAAACCGAAAATGGAAGTGGATATTCACCGATAAAAAAAGAAAAACAAGGTGGGAACAAAGACTTTTTAAAGCATAACTGCTGTCAATCAATTCACAACTGGCAGCGATCATCGCCTTAAGAACAAGGATTCTTGTTATAGACTGAGTCATTTTATATACGCTGATAACATTCTAATATTCGCTACAAGTTTCAACGAACTACAGACCATGATGAAGCAACTATTTTAAGCTTTGAAAAAAGTAGAAAAAGTAGTCATCTTAAGATGAACTTAAGGTTAGCGTGGGCGGGATTGGGAGGTACATCTTGAAAAGCACTAAAATAGAATAATATTTGAAAACCAGAATTTACGATCAGTGTATCTTCCCTATACTCAAGTATAGTTTATAGACGTGGACACTCACCAAACCTAATATGGATAAAATAGTAAAAGCACAAAATGCGATGAAAAAAAATGGATTAGAATCCAAAATAAAGTAAAATACGCATGAGAACAGGCTGCCAAATTAAAATGGAGCTTCGCAGGACACAATGCCCTACTGAAGGATAAGAGATGGAACTACGAAATACAACAATGGAGCCCATGGTTAGAAAAGAGAAGCAGAGGAAGACCACAAATGAAATGGGCCAATTATATTAAGAAGATCGAAGGACACAGCTGGAAGCAAGTGGCGTAAAATAGAAGACACTGGATTGATTTGTGGGAGACCTATGTCCAAAGTTGGGTTACTTAAGGCTTATATGCCAAGTTATGACAATGTAGTTATTAAACCTCGTGAAAGATACTATAAATTGCAGCAATAGTGTGACTATATGTATGTTTGATAGCGATTTGAGATTTCTGGTTTTAGGATATTTGTTAAATATAGCAAGTAAAAAAATATTAAAATATTTTCGCAAAAAACATATATATTCCTAAATATGTTTCGAATATTAGTAAGATTTTTATTAATTTATTCGTTAACCTTTTTTAGATCCAGACTGTACGGACGGTAACACAACGTTCTATATTTACCCTTACAATTGCAAAAAATTTTATGAATGTTTTGAAAGTGACTTGTACATTCTTGAATGTCCTGATGACTTACTCTGGAATAATAAAGACCAGGTGTGCGATGATAGCTTTAACGTTGATTGTTGTAAGTACTTTATTTTTTACATTTATCGGCCTGCAAGATAATATTAGTATTATCTTGCAGTACCATTGAGAGCTTTTTGTGTTTATAGAATTGGCAATGTATAAAAATTTATGTTTAATATTAGAAGAGTGTAGTATTATTTTTAAGATTTATAAACTCATGGTTAAAAACTTACGTTTAATACCGAGTAGGGTGAAAATGTACCCCAACTCTTTTTGTCCAAGTAAGTATTTGCCATCTGTCGTTGGACAATAATTAAATTTGACAATACAAATATAAAAATTAGCATGAACGAAGTTTACCTGCCAGTTGTGGTACTTTCCGAATTAGATTTAACTAGATTTATTATTTAAAATGATAAATCAATTTTCAACCGAAAGTGACCATAGAATGGTTAGAGCGAAGGTAGTCTTAAACGTAAAGAAGGAACGAAGAAATATGGTAACAAGGGCTAAAATGTTACGTTCACTGCGATTACTAACACAAGGGCATACCATTAAGAAATAGGTAGAAACGTTCAGAATGACGTGCAAGATGAAACCGATATTAAACAGCTTAAAGAAAGGTTGGTAAACACTCTAAGGAAGGCACAAAAGAACTGCCAAGTTAAGCAAACAAGGAAAAATGAAAAACTTAAAGAAGGTACAAGGAACCTAATGCAACAAAGAAGGGAAATAAAAGATAAGCACACGGTGAACATAACAGAACTAAGAAATTTAAATAAAACTATTTCAAAAGATGTCGAAAAGGCATAAAGGATTTTAACACTAATTTTAACAAAATAAACAAATATTACCATAGAACAAAATAAAAAGTTCATAAGGTTCTATTACCATAGAACCTTAAAGTTCTTAACCGAAAGTTGAAGACATGAACCAGAAACATTTAAATGCTAAAAAATAGACAAGGACATGCTTATGAAATTTATCGAAAAGTACTATAGAACATTATATCATCGAGATGCTCACATTCCAGAGGTGGAAATCCCAGCCATACAAAATCAAGGATCAGAGGAACTTCTAGGCTCTTCAAATTCATAAAATGAATTTGATCAATATATTGATCGCTTCTTAAAACCTGTGCCATTCACAACTGCTGCATTTTCTTATTTGCAATACATCCTCATATTTTACCGTAGCCATCCTAATAGCCAGAACTTAATCACATCGAACATGTATGAATAATCATTAAGAATAAGACTACTTCTCATCTGTACAATTAAATTAAATTATATTCATAGCAAGGCAACGTCAAATTGTTTAAATTATTGTTTAAACATTATTGTTGCTAAAGAAAACACATATTATTAAACAAATTTACTCCTCAATTTTTGTTTTATATTGACTTCCGTGTAACTTCTTCTTCTTCTACTACTTTTTGTAGTTCTTTCGATCTGTTTAATTCTGAAGCTGCCTCTGGTTAATTTCTTGGTAGGTAGATTGCCAACTATCCCTCATCTTTTAGGTGGTCTTCCGGGGGGTCTTGAACCGGGCGAATTGTTTTCTAGGGCAATTTTTGGGAGTCTGGGCATTCGTCTTACATGGTTGTATCACATCCTCTTGCGCTGCCTTCCCCATCTTACAATATCTTGAATTTTGCACTGCTCTCTAATGTTTGTATTTCTCACTCTGTCTCTTCTTGTTTTCCCCATTATTGTTCTTAGTGTTTTCATTTCGGCAACCCTTAGCATCTGTTTCGTTTTGTTGGTATCTTCGCGCACTTCTATGCCATATGTCATGATCGGTCGTATGCAAGTCTTATAGATTCTAATTTTACTATCTGTGCGCATATACGGATTTGACCAGACTATCTCCCGCAGACATCCTGACAGTGCAGATGCTTTGTTGATCTGACTCCTCAGGTCCTTTACTGGGTCGAGGGTGCTTGATATATCTATGCCCCGATATCTGAATTGCATCACCTGTTCTATGGGGTTGTCCTCAACCACTAACTTACATCTGAGCGGATCTTTTGCTATTGACATACATTTAGTTTTGTTGGTTGAGATGTTCATATTTAGTAGTAGGCTTGTTTGAAAGAACTGAACTGAAACCGTGTAACTTAAAAGAAGTAAAAGTAGAAAAAAAAAACAACCCCGTTTTATTGACGCTGGCAATGGGATCAGACACGGAGATTTTACTGACTCCTATATTTAACCTGATTATGGATGAAATATTAAAAAAACTAAGAACAAAAAAAAAGGATACCAAATGGGAGAAAAACAACTTAAAATAATCTGCTATGCAGACGACACAATACTACTCTCTCAAAGTAACGATGATTTACAACGTATGCTGCACCAATTTAATATAACCGCCAGAGAAATTAACATGTTAATTTCCCCAAAAAAGGTAAAATGAACGGTTACAACAGCAAATTTACTAAGATGTAAACTGGAGCTGAAAGGTTAGATAATAGAACAAGTGATGGAGTTTAAATATCTAGGCATCGCATTATCTAGCTATAAAAAGCTCGAAACGGAATTGGAAGGTCAAGTGAATAGAGCAAACAGAGCCGCAGGCTGCCTAAATGACACAATATGGAGAAATAAAAATATCGGTAAAGAAACGAAAAGCAGAATTTAAAAAACCAGTTCAATAAAACCAATAATAATGTACGCGGCAATAACAATACAAATATTCTCATCTCATTTTATTTTCTCTGTGTCAATACTGACATAGAGAGAATAAAAAGGATGTTAGAAACGGCACAGATAAAACCACTTTTAAAAATTGATGGTAAGACACTATGGGACAGAGCTAGAAGTACAGATATACGACATATATGCAAGGTGGAGAACATCAAGAACTGGGTACGAAATAGAAGAGTAAAATAGAGCGATCATATTATAAGCCTAATGACAACAAATAGAGTAATAAACATGGCAAAAGGCGGTTTCCCAATAGAAAGACGATCAGTAGGAAGACCACGAAAACTATGGAATGACAGTTTACTGGAGGCACATTGAAAACAGACAGAGTCATTTCTATATAAAAAGAAGAAGAAGAAGAAGTGTTACCTAAACAGTTTATATTAAATTAGTGCACTTCTTATCGATTGTTTGATTATTTCATTATAGAAAAATCGTATTATAATAAAATTAAGATGAACTCATTGCTGACCGATTAGGCATTATAATGCTTTATCACTTTTTAAAATACAATAAAAATAATGTACTTCTTGTGTTCCTTAGACCATTTTGATGCGTTTATTATATTGGTATGTTGTACATTTAGATATAGATAATATAATTTTTTATATGTACAATCCAAATATCATATTATTACTTTTTTTTTAAAATAACACAAAATTAGTTTCATAATAGTAATATTATTTGTTTATTTTTTAGCATACATAATACCTGAGGATGCTGGTAAGTACGTATGTAAAAGTTTTATTGCAAATATTGCTTATTTGTTCAAAACACTTCTTGAGTAAAATTATCAATATAGTAATCTATAAATCAGTACAAAAATAAGCATTGTTTTTAAAGTATATTTTTTGAAAGGAATGTTTAAGATGTGTTAATATCGGTACAAATGAGATTAATAACGACTTTAGATTATTAGACATATTTATATACTGTAGATTGTAGCTAAATATGTCACTCTTATCTATTTTATCTACTCGTACTACACTGCGGCAAAAATATTTTTTATGAGAACGTTATTATATCACTCTACTTCTATGTGAATAGCTATTGGATAGGCTTTGGCTCCTACTGTATGGCAACTTTTAAAGTGAAACCTTCATCTTCAGAATTCTTTTATTTTTTTCCACTATGCTTCTCATACCTGCTTTCTAAACTCCCTTTGGCCTGTACTAAGCAAGATGGAATTTTTTAAAGTTTGCTTTTAATTAATTATTATCAAAAGAGAGGATATGTAATAGACAATCATCTAAAACATGTTGAATGAAGGCTAATGAAACTTAAGTATTACTTAGTACTCGAAGTTGATCCTATCCTAGTTTTCACTAGATTAATGAAACATCCCAAACAGAAATCGAGCATGAATAGCCCCTTCACTACTCAAGATCTTATGGAGTGAACTAATATTTCTACAAGAGTTGGTTTTTGCAGTTTGTAAAAATAAAATATTATCTTATACCTGAAATATCTAATATTTACTGGCAAATATTCTGACCAAAATACTAATTTCGGAAATGTATCCCAAAGATACGAGTCAGATTGTGTGATTAGTTAAGTGAGAAGGATACCTGAAGTATGTGTTACAAGAAATTATCCTAATTTCATTATAATGGGAACAAACTGTACTGTGTCTTTTGAAAATTATCGCCTGAATATAAGCAGTTATTTTAACAACAAAACAGAAAACAACCCGATTGGATTTGTCAAAGGCTGGTTTAAAATGGCTAAGCAGGACGGTTTTTACACGACAGAAATATTACACGCATTTTTAGCTTAATAATTTTTCTGTCAATTCGGTAAAAAGAAAACTTAATTCGAAACTTTAAATCCCCGGCGCTTAGGAAAAATTATTATTGTAGCGAGAATAAATAAAACGAGCGGTTCGAATTTATATAAATATATTTATTTATAACTTTACAGTTTGGTATTCTCTTATCAACTAAACTTACTCCTAAGATCGTTACATATATATACCTAAGTGACTATGTTCTAGAAAGTTCCCACCTCTAATTCGCGCACGTGACTGATTGTTCTCTTGCCTTCGATGGATCTATCCATCGATAGTTCTCGATGTCTGAGATGCTTCGAGATGCAACCGTTAGGCGGGCCACGCTAAATGCATGTTCGTAACATTATCTTAGTTAAATATTGACCAATTTCGTTCTTTTTTTATCTGAGGTAGGGGAAACTTTTGTGAACATTAGCGGTATTTTTTTTGGCAGCTATTAAAACTGAAGTGACTATTTTTTTTAATACCTTTTAATCATGTTTATTTTATATGGGATATATTTTTTATACTCTTTAAGAACGAATTACTATTCTAATGATGAGATGGTACGGTGACATAAAAATATCTTATTGAAAAGTAGCCTACTTGTTCAATTATTTTTTCCCAACCTGTTATCCTTATTATAACGCGACTCTAAAGTGATTTGAGGAATATGGAGAAGGAAATTTAACGTCAGATGGTGACCAGATGGAGAAAAGAACCCTGCGAGATGGAGACTGGAATGATAAGGAAAATTGGAGAAAACGGTTGAGTGAAGGAAGACAGTGAAAACTGTGGGAAATCCTTAGTAGTAGTATGTTTACCAAATCATACTTAGAAATAAATTTGTACCTACTATCAGAAACTTTTTGGGGCCAACATTTATCAGATATGGTTTCATCAAGATTGAGCTCCAGCTTATTTTGGTGTAAATGTTCGGCGTTATTTAGATGAGATTTTGCCCGGACGATGAATTGGTAGATGAGGTAGATTTAAATGGCCTCCACGTTCACCTGATTTCAATCCTAAAGATTATTTTTATTAGGATAATTTGAAAATTTCAGTTACAAAACTAAGCCAGCAAGTCTTGGAGAGCTAAGGCAACGAATTATCGATAATTTTTAAATAATTTCTAGAAAATCATGGAGAAATAAGGTAAATGCATTATACAATCGATTAGGGTACTGTCGACTCACAAATGGAGCACATTTTGAACACTTGATAAAGTAACCATTATGTTAAAAAATGTTGTAATCTATCAATTGTTACATTTTAATCTAGTTGAAAATAGTTTAAAATAGTATTAAAAAATTTATTGACACAATTAGGCGTTGCTAGACTTCTGTTTTATGTATTTAAGACATTTCAGACTACATAAATTCATAAGTGTTACATATAGTTGCACTTGTACCGAACAGAAGATTCCAATAATGACTAAATATACAGGGTGATGAATTTGAAAATCTCAAGTTACTAATAATATAATAGAAACTGCAAATCTGGCAACATTAGCAATATCAAATATGGAATCTCCGTATCCCAAATTAGATGTACCTTAAATTTTGTACAATTAGAACTAGCAATTTACGAGATAATTGGCCGTTTCCAGACTTTTGGGCCACTCTGTACAATACCACGCACGTCACGGATGGCCCGAAAGTAGCAAAAAAAATACATGTCCTAAGCCCCTTTGGCATGTAGCCATGTTTGATTTTTCTCCATATGACATATCGCGTGGTCTTGTATGTAATGTCGTTAAATAATTATAAGCTTAAGTTTTATTATTATTTTTGACAATTTACCCTTTGACCCCCAAGTCTTTATTTATTTCTTAATTTACCCCCTTTCCACCAGCTCCTTATACGTCACGATCCAACTAATCGTTCTCAAGCTGATTTAAGTCAAAGTGGAGGTGAAGAGGGGTAGCCTAACCTCCGGAGACTCTACTACAATTTAAAGAAATAAAGCAATTCTCTTGGTCATAGAAAACTTTTTTTTATAATTTTAGAAATAACGTATATTTGAATTAATAAATAATAAAACAGCAGTCACCCAATAAATACTAAATACTCAATATTTTTTTATTTCTATGTAAGTTTATTATAGTACCACATTTACACAATTTTTTAATTTTTTCAGAAACGGAAATACCAACTTCAGGTAAATATATTTTTAATAATTCTATTAATTAAAACGTATAAATAGGTATCAAAATATATTTTCTGGTTTCATTAGTTATGTAACATTTAGGCGTTCAAAGTGACTCGATTATTCATTTCCATCTGAGGCGTTTCCATCTGAGCTCCCATTTGGAGCTATTTATTTTTTTTTTAAGATATACTTCTATACGCACGGTTGGCGTTGGAAATTTGCATGGGAGTGAATATGTGAAACCATTACATATGTAAGATAATGAGTAAGAGAGAAACAGAAGATATATTTTCTCCCTCTTCCTCTCGCGAGAATAAAAATTAAAAATCTTTAAATATCTATTAATATTAATATTTATGTGATATGTTTTGTAATATTTATTAAACGTTTATAATTATTTTAGGCTTTTGTATTTCAAAATAATCACTTTTTGATCGAAAACTGTCAGTTTTGAAATCCGTTAGTGTCATGTCTAATTGGCAAATCCTTTACGTGTTTGGTTCATCCGCTGGTGTTTGTAAGTTCGAATCCCAATATGAATTTCCCTTTTTATTTCTGATCTATTTAAAAAACCTCACATTAATCTTATTAAATATATGTAATATACGTAAAAATGCTCAATTTTAAAATAAAATGAAAATTTACAACATAATCCAAGTTGTTGGTTTTTTATTTTTATCTTCGCAAAGTAAGTTATGTATATTGGCAGTTTTAAATGCTTATGAATATTGCATTTTAATTTATATTATATTATTATATTGAATAATGTTGCAGTGTATTTATTGTATTATAATCTTTATATTAATAATAAAATAAGCAATGAATTTTACTGCAGAGTATGTGTAAAAAAAGTTTTTGCATTCAACTCCTTTTATACATATTTAAAAATAATAATATATATTTTCATTAAAATATTGATACAGTCCTACATTTAGTATACTCCTATTACAGGTCAAATGTTTATATACAGCAAACGATGCACCATATACCTATATAATTATTTTTTTCTCTCTCTGCTCTCTCTCTCTCTCTTACCTATAGCTTTACATATGTAATGATTTTGCAGATTGACTCCCATATAAATTTGTAAGGGCGAATGTTTATATAGAAGTATAACTTCTACTACACCCATTTTTTTTATACTGTCCACTATAAACAAAGTATTAAATTGCAATTTCGAATATTTTCTAAAAGAGTTTATTAAAATCTTATACAAAGAATTCTCTTCTGTACAGAGTGTAACAAAAAAGTAGGTCATCAATTATATCACGTAATCTGCGACCAAAAATGGTTCGATTAAATCTAACTTACCTTAGTGCAAATGTGTACATAAAAACAGTTACAGCCCATTTAAGTTACAGATTTTATTTTGAAAATGAACAGTCGGCTTTTCTACGGCAGGAACATCTTTAAAAAACAGTGAAATTTGTACAGCGCATTTTAAACCTCACCTCCCAAATATTTGTATATTTATGTTCCAATTAAATGATGATTGTAATACCATCTAATAGGTTTCGGAATCATAGTCTTCTTTATGTGCCGTCTTCTACCGAAGGTTGGCGACCATCATACGATAGGTTTCTTTGTTTTGTACCGCATGAATTATGTTCGCAGCTTTTGGTATTTGAAACCATTCTCTCAAGTTTCTCAGCCAGGATTTCTTCTTTCTGCCCAAACCTCTTCTACCTTCAATCTTGCCTTCCACGATAAGCGGTAGCAGACTGTACTTATCATTACGGAACACATGGCCCAGGTATGACGCTTTCCTCCTTTTAACAGTTGTTAACAATTCCACCTCTTTACCCATTCGTCTTAATACCTCTGTGTTGGTCACTCTGTCTGTCCAAGGTATTCCCAGTATGCGTCGATACAGCCACATTTCTAGAGCCGCTAACTTCTTTATAGTTGCTGCTGCTAACGTCCACCCTTCTACGCCGTAAAGTAGCGTAGAGAGTACGTAGCATTTCGTGGCGCGCCATCGGAGGTTAATGCTTAGGTTGCGGTTGCTTAAGAGCTTTCTCATTTTGATGAATTTGGATCTTGCTATTTCAATTCGGATCTTAATCTCTACTTCTGGGTCCCACTTGTCATTTACTGTATATCCCAGATATTTAAATCGGTGTACTCTTTCAATACTTTCGTCTTCAATATGCAGGTCGATATGTTGAAATTTTTTTTTTACTGATCACCATAAATTTAGTTTTCTTTCTATTGATCTTCAGTCCAAATCGGCTGCCAGTTGTATTAACTCTATGTAGCATCATCTGTAAATCTTCGATGTTATCGGCTAGTATAATAGTATCATCTGCATATCGAAAATTACTTATTGGTACGCCATTAATCTTGATGCCCTCATTGTACTCTTCTAGTGCCTCTAGAAATATTTGTTCCGTGTACAGGTTGAAAAGTACTGGCGAAAGAATACAGCCCTGTCTTACCCCTCTAGAAATGGTTATGTTTTCACTCACCATATGTCCATTCTTCATGTGGGCTGTTTGATTCCAATATAGATTTTTTATAATCTGGATGTCCTTAGTGTCAAGTCCTGAAAGACGTAATAGTTCTATGAGTTTGTCATGTTTGATAGTATCGAATGCTTTCTCATAGTCGATAAAACAGACGTAAACATCTTTCTGTTGATCCAGGCATTTTTGAATCAAAACTTGTATTGCAAAGAGGGGTTCTCGAGTTCCAAAACCGCATCTAAAACCGAACTGTGTTTTACTTATGCTGTGTTCTAATTTTGCTCGTATTCTGGAATGGATAATACGCAAAAATACTTTAAGGGTGTGGCTCATTAAACTTATTAGGCGATATTCACTACACGTCTTAGAATTATATTTTTTGGGAAGGGACACAAATGTAGATTTCAACCAGTCCGATGGAATTTGACCAGTATCGTATATCTTATTAAACAGTTCCAATACTACATTCAGGTTGTTCTCGTTAAAACCTTTTAAGAATTCGACTGGTATTTCATCGCGTCCTGTTGCTTTCCCATCTTTCGTTTGATCTATAGCTTTTATCACCAACTACAATGAATCATAGTAACTTGAGCAAATATCCATTGCATTGGAAAGTATCGAAGACGCAGTGTACTGTTGTATATTATTGTAATACGACCACTGCTTTTCTCTTAGCCTTTGAAGTAATCCTCCTGTAATCCAATCATAGGCAGGAGCTTTCGTAGGATTTGGCATTTTTATTTGTGTCAAAGCTGTGTCAAATAAGTGTCACAGGAAGAGATAGTTGAGATGGACTTTTAAGATATATTCTTATATCATCATCTTCATCGTTATTAGTATCTGGTTCTGCAAATACAGTTGCAAGATGATGTGAGAATACTGTGGTTTTTTCTGCGTTACTGCAGGCCCATATATCATATGTGTTTTTCTGAAACTATGAATTCGTGATTGTCGGTCATTTATATTTTTTTGTAGCTTTTCATATAGAGTGGTCATCATGTGAGAGGTTCGAAACATAAAACTGGAAAAACTTCAATTACGGCTTATTCCCATTAAAACATTAATTATAAAATTTTAATATTTTAAATAATAACTTTTAAAATACATTTAACTGTATATTTTAGCCCCAGATTCTACTTCTCCGGTAACTGTAGAACCTACAACATCACCAGTACCTTCCACGCCCTCAACTGTAGAACCTACAACATTAGAAACTACCGAGCGCCCAACAACTACACCCGTTCCTCCACCACCGACTACACCACCAGTTCGTTGTGAGCATGAAGAACAATACATTTCTGATCCTTACGATTGTAGTATGTATTACGAATGTTCAAATGGAGTACCAATTTCAATGAGTTGTCCAGATGGAGAATATTGGAACCCAGATGAAGAAGTTTGTGATTGGCCTTACAATGTTGATTGCAGTAAGTTAAAATCGTTAAAGGTCAACATATATAATCTTTAACAAATATATGACGGAAACTACAGCAAACTTCAGTTATGGAGAGCTACACTAAGTAACTTTTATTTCGAGTATTCGGACACGTTCAGTTCACGAAACAATTCTAAACTCGTTATTTACCCCGTGGCTTATCTGCGAAGTTATAGTTAAAATGAAATATTTGTATTATTTGTTATTCCAACAGACGTGCTCAGCCACGATTTAGGCGGCGGTTACATTGGATAAGACTTCTAACTAAAATGTATTCGATTTAATGCTCGAATTAATTACCTTTAATCAAATAAAAGGCAGATATCGAGTACAGTTTTTAATTAAATCTTGCCTAAGTACTTTCGCTCCTTTCGCTTCCAAAAGAAACTCGAAGTTGATGGTTGATAAAAAAAATTTTTATTATGACATTTTAGACTTACTTCATCAAAATTATAGGCTATATAACAATTTGGTTAATGTCATAAACATTAAATAAAACATTTACATAACACCAAATAAAAGAAAAACAGTTTTAATAAATTTAAATCTTAAGGAGCTACATACCTAGTGGATGACACCAGGAGAGATAATGGCTCCTGGTCTTAACGGAAATTTTAAAATGACATCGGAATATGATAACTTGGATGGGCAGTCACAATAATGGTGATGTCATTTGAACATTGACCAAAGGTTCAACTGACACTACTGTACAAAGTCAATTGATGGAACATGGAATTATATAGATAACTTTATGTAAATTTTATAATCAAGATCTCACACTCAAACATGTCAGTAATAATTTGTGTGTTAGTTTGGATGTAATGTAAGAACTTCTTCTTCTTTGGGTGCCGTGTCCGTATTCAGACGTTGGCCGTCATCATGTTTACAATTTCCTGAAACCTTTTTCTGTCGGCTGCTGCGCGAAATAATTCTTCTACTGTGAAACCACACCATTGTCTAATATTACGCAGCCATGAAAGTTTCTTTCGACCAATCCATCTCTTTCCTTCCACTTTTCCTTGTATTATAAGGCGAAGTAAATGGTATTTGGGTCCTCTAATTATATGGCCGAAGTATTCTGTTTTTTTCCTCTTTATGATGTTTATGAGCAGACGTTCTGAGTTGATCATTTGAAGAACATCTTCATTGGAAGTGTGCGAAACCCACGATATCTTTAGGATTCATCTATAGCACCACATTTCGAATGCTTCTAACTTGTTTAGCATTTTGGTTTTTAACGTCCCTGTCTCACAACCATACAATAGGATCGACCACACATAACATTTCAGGACCTTCTTACGAATGTTCATTGACAGGTTTCTGTTGCATAAAACTGGTTTCCAGGTCATAAAAGCCTTACGTGATATTTCAATCTTGGATATTATCTCTTCATCAGAGTCACAATTTACATTTAACCAGCTGCCAAGGTATTTGAAATGATTTACCCTTTCTATCTCTTCCCCATTAAGAGAAAGCAGACCTTGATCTATATGGATCTTTCCAACTGCCATCCACTTTGTCTTTGAAATGTTGATTTTTAGGCCTCTCCGATAACATGCTTCACTGACTAGATTTAGTAATGTTTGGAGATCTTGTAAACTTTCTGCAAGAATGGCTGTATCGTCAGCGTATCTAATATTGTTGATTACTTCTCCACCTAGCCTTACTCCCTCTTGTCTGTCATCCAAAGCCTCCCTAAAGATTTCTTCAGAGTACAGATTAAAAAGAGTGGGTGACAAAACACAACCCTGCCGTACTCCACGTTTGACGGGTATTTTTTCAGTGGGACTGTCTCCAATTTGGATAGAGGCTACTTGATTGTAATATAAGTATTTTAGCAGTCTTATATCATAGTGGTCAAGTCCTACTGCCCGTAGGCAGTCGAAAAGTGTATTGTGTTGGACTCTGTCGAACGCCTTCTCGAAGTCGATGAAACAAACATAAACATTCTTTCGGAATTCACAACTTTTTTGTAATAGAACGCGCATACAGAATAGTGCCTCTCTAGTTCCTAGACCGTTTCTAAATCCAAATTGCTTATCACCCATCTTACTTTCGCATAGAAGGAATACTCGGTTTTGTATAATTCGTAAGAGTATCTTCAGTGTGTGACTCATCAAACTGATTAGTCTAAAATCGCTGCATTTGGTGGGCCTGCTTTTCTTTGGTAATGTTATAAACAGTGACTCTAACCAATCATCTGGTATTTTTCCTTCGTTGTAAATTTTGTTGAAGAAAGTGGTTAAGCAGGCAATGCTTCCCTCATCCAAAAGTTTAAGTAGTTCGGCAGGGATTTGATCTGGTCTGGTCCAATGTAAGAACTAGATTAAACAATTTATTAGATAGTGGGTGGATAGAAAAAATCAAAATATGATATTAAAATATTTAGAATTAAAAATCAAAATTAAGAACAAATTGTATTAATGGGGTATAATACCAGTAGTTCAGTTAAACCCAAAGTCAATGGTAGAACCATAAAATTAAAGTGTTAAAGCATCACACAAGACTAACTGACCAACTGTAAGACATGTTGAAATATACAACTGTGGTGATAATATATCTAAATTGCGAAGAGATATAGAGAATGTAATAAACGCCAACTGTAGATCAATTGATCATGAACAAGCTTGTTTTGCAAGTTATTATTGAATGAAATAATAATAATAATATTGATTAATATGAAATTACTATGAAAACATGGTGAATAATTGATCTATAGTTGGCATTTATTATATATTCGTAATTTAGATATATCACCTTCAAAGTTATATTTCAACATCTCTCACTGTTGGTCAGTTGGTCTTGAGTAATGCTTTGACATATGGTTCTCCCATTGACTGTGGATTTAACTAAACTATTGGTATTATAGCCCATTTATACAATTTGTTCTCAATTTTGATCTTTAATTTTAATTCTAATTTTAATTAATTTTAATTTCATATTTGATTTTTTCGTTTCTATAATATTGATAGTGCTTGGTAGACCTTTTTATTGTAGTCATCCACCCACTATCTAATAGATTGTTTAGTCTAGTTCTTACATTACAAACAAATGCCCAAATTATTACTGATAGGTTCAAATTCACCGCAACATAAACAAATGCATCTCACACATAGTCTGGAATGACCTGAGACAAACAACATGAGGGTGGAAGCTGGGCACGGGGACATAACCTTTGAAACTTGAATTTTCTAAAAACTCAAGCGCAATGGAACCACGTGGCATCTATTAAAGTTGTTTGAAACCGCCTTTCTTTAAATTCCTCAGGTAAGAGATAACATGAAACAAAACAGTTATTAATCTAGCAAAAATTGACACTTTACATTCGACTATATTTCACTTTTCAACTAATAAATTTGCCGGTTTCTTCAGGTGACTTACGCCGAGTGTTGTCTCTTCAAAAACTCTTTTACACCTAACTTCAGTTCAACTGCTCCTCCTCCTCCTAAGTGCCTTCTCTATTGAGGTTAGTGATCAATATGGCAAATTTCTCTCTGTTCTGGGCTTAATGGATTAAGTCATTTCCTGTTGTGTGAGTCCAATCTCTGATGTTTCTGAGTCAGGATTTCTTCTTTCTTGCTATACCCCTTTTACTCTCGATTTTGCCTTCTAATATTACCTGGAGCTGCTCTAATTCCTTATGGCGCATTATGTGTCCTAGATATGACGTCTTTATAATTTTGATTGTATTAACCAGATGAGGTCGTGTGTTCATTATTTCCAGTACCTCTGGAAATCAACTACAAACCTCAACCGCTACATACTACCAAACTTCACTATTTCCCATAACAAAAAAACAATAAGGAAAAAATAATTACGAATTAGAAGAAAAATTCGGGCTAACATCGAAACCAACTGCCTTTGACAGCGGCTTTACTGGGGTGATGTAATTCCCTTCCCCGCAAAACCTTCGTAGCGATTTAAGTAGATATTTATTTAATGCGCAATATTAAGCGGAAACTATCAAATAAATACCAAAGAAATACGCGTCCGTGATATATAAGCAAAATTTAAAATGTATTTATTATCAATTCCAGCGAGGCAAAAGGATTGAAAAAACTTTCTCGATGTTTTAATGGATACAAGGTGATTTCAATACATATTAAAGAAAATAAAAATGCTACAATTTCAGATACCCCTGAAGATGCTCTAGGAGCGAAAGTACTTGGACAAGATTTAATAAAAGACTGTGCTCGATGTCTGCCTCTTATTTGATTAAAGTCAAAATTTGTTCGTACGCATTCGTACGAAATTTTAAAAAATCGCCAGAAGTAAATGAATTAGTACATTAAAATGCTTGTGGTTATATTGTTCACTACCTAATTTGCTAAGAATTCTTACAAGTTCGTACGTATTAGATCTTAGAGTTAAATTGGATACAATAGTACAGACTATTTTTTTTTGTATATTAAGATGGTGTATATAAGGGAGACGACGAGTCTATAACAGAGGAAAATATAAATATGTTATAGTGCTTTCGATACTCCTGTATCAACTGTATACGGCTGTGTTTTAAACATGACGTGTATTGTTTCGAAGTGTACAATGGCCATATTCACAAAAACTGAGATAGATATCGCATTACGTCTAGGTTATAGCCCTGAATCGAAACAATAGAAAATCTCTTTTTTGAGGCAGAATTAGACTTCAATTTAAAACGTATAACCTCCAGTGACATTAAATTTTAAAACCTTAGCATCTGCTATCCAATATTTAAAATCAAAGTGTACAATCTCCAATGGGTTTTTCTTGTTTCAAGTGGCGAATATTTGAAAGCTTGCAATATCCTGTACACTATCTTCTTCTTCTGTTTGTGCCACTCCTATCGGAGATTGGAAATCATCAAGGCTATTCTGACCTTGTTTACAGCTGACCTAAAGAGTTCATTAGTGGTGCAGCCAAACCACTCTCTCAAATTCCGCAACCGTGACATTCTTCTACGGCCTGGATTCCGTTTTCCTTCTATTTTTCCCTGCATTATATTTTGAAGTA